TGTGGCCATCAAAAAAACATTGGAGCACAGGTTTAATTTAACTCAACTTTTATAAAGACAGAAGTAGACACAAAAGTGAAAAACCATGGACATTAATTGTAATGATAATGTGCATGTCAAATTACCTATATTTTCAAAAGTAGTCATATTACAAACCAAAAAAATCACATAATGCACATGATTATGGCAAATACTGAAAACACATAAGAACCTTTGGATATTATAAAACATATTATGTGTAACTATAAAAGTAGACAAGAAATCATAGGGACCCCGGTTTATTAAAACATAAAATTCATAACTGTAGCCTAAATAAAAGCAAAAGTTGAAAAAAGAATTACTTACTAATACTATATTTTATTAAAATATCCAATTAACTGGGTATATGTCATCTGACGGCAGATGTTTCATGTTGGTTGAGATTATTTCGTTATCTTGCTCCAGATGCTCTCCAGCAAGTCTTGAAACTTGACAGATACATCTGGGAACTGGGGAAGTCATTTATGAATCTCTAATCCTGTGTGTCCACTCCAGTCCTCGAGAGCTACTCTCCTGTAGCTTTTAGATGCATCCCTATTCCAATACAGTTGAATCAAATGATTGGATTACCTCTTCAGCATGCCATCAAGTTGGTAAAGGCCTGGTAACAAGCCATTCATTGATCAGGTGTGTCAGAACAAGGACGCGTCTAAAACTGCAGACAGTAGCTCTAGAGGACTGGAGTTGGACTTTCCCCCACCTGGAAGTTGTGTTTCTATGACCTCTTATCCTGTTGTCAACTCTGCAGTCTTGGAGTAACCAGTCTCTTTCTTCTGTAGTGTCTCTGCAATGCCTAAAAGTCTACAAGAGTAACTTGCTTGCATAACATAACCATAACCTGGCAAAACATCTCTGACTTGCAAACCTGCTAGTCAACAGTTTTGATTAAAACAGTAGATGATAGTTAAAAGGTTAAATAGACTCCCAGTTTGATACTAAAAAGTAATAACTCCTAAAATGCACATTTTTGGGGAAACAGTTCATTATATATTCATGGAAAATTCCAAGACTTAACTGAGATTTTGTAATGTGTGAAAGACTAGTGCTTTTAATTACACACTATACAAAAAGCACAGGTTTTGAGGCTTCCTCTTATTTGGTGTGAGGCAGAGCCTGAAGCGAGCGTCTCAAGATCAAGAGCTGCTCAGCCTCCCTAGTCACTTAGTTTCAATTCCCTATAAGTGTATCCATTAATGCTGTCAAGAGCACCCACAACACGTAAATACTCATCAAAAAAAAGGCCAACATCTCAACAAATTCACTCAAGTCCTGTACAGCCAGATGTGTTGTTATATTTTATCTTCTTTAGGTTGATGTGTTGTAAAGTTTCTAGGTGTCCAGAGCCTGTTCATTGAGCCTGAAAATAAGAAAACTAGTGCATTAATTAAAATAATTCAATTAAAGTGTGATATATATCCACAGAACATACTCACTCAGGAGCAGTCTTGTTTCTCAAGTCCACAACATCATAGGGGTGATGGTCCTGCTTTTGTGGTTGAAATGGCTGAATAGTGGAGTAGAGAGTCTCTGTTTTATTCTTGGACAAGCAGATTTCACTGTAGTCAGGTTCCTCCTCTGTCAGCGGAGGTGAGAAGCTTTCATACTTGAAATCAAAGTGTAAGTGATGCAAACAGAACAAACATTTCAAATTAAGTGGTGAAAAAGAGAGTGGTAGATTAATGTGGAAAAGACTGTCCCTATACAGAAGCAAGATTATTAAATGTATTTCTTTACCGTGAAGTTCTCCATTGTTTCATTTCCTGACCTCTGTTTCTGGTCAGTGAAACAGATGAATATAGAAACAGGTTAGTGTGTGAACTTGAGATTGAATCTGGTTGATGTGAGAGACAAAACATTGATGTTCACCTGATCCACCAGCAGACAGTGAGAAGTACTAAAACCAGCAGAGCAGCAGAAACTCCTGCAGCTGCTGGTGTCCATGTTCCTGTGATACTTTGGACAGTGAGAGTCTTTGGAGCAGAGCTGATATCTTTGTTGGTTTTCACAGCACACGAGTAGCTTCCTGCATCCTCCCTGCTGACTGGGTCTAGGATCAGATATTTGTTCTGGTTCTCTCTCGGGGTCAGAGGTCGACTGTTCAAGTACCAAATGTAGTTTGTGTTGTCAGTCAGAGGACAGCTGGTGCTGCAGGTCAGTGTGACTCTCTGACCCTCTGTCACCACTGCAGAAGGACTCATCTTCACTCTCAGCTCTGAAAGAGAAACGTTGGTCAAAGAAATCTCTTTTATAGCAAATCTCCTCTGTGGCTTATGCATTAAATGTGAATTGTGAATAAGAACAAAATGGTAAATGAAGTGGTTCTTATATAACACTTTTCTACTCTATTTTGAGCACTCAAAGTGCTTTACACAACTTGTGCATTCACCCATTCACACTTTTTTTCTACCATTTCTCAGTGCTTCATAACTAACATCCACATATATTCATACTCTGATGGATGCATTGGAGAGCAACATGGGTTTAGCATCTTGCCCAAGGATACTTGGCATGCAGACTGGAGCAGACTAGGATTGAACCACCAACCTTCCAGTTAGTTGGTGACCTGTTACAGCCACCCTGTAACATATGATACATTACACTGTATTATTATTTTTTTTAAACTAAAATGAAAACAAAATGCAGAAGCAGTGTGTTAAAAACTAGCAACATTTTATGATTATAGTATAGTAGCAGGTAGTAGCAGTAACATGTATAATAATTGTACAGAAATAAAGCTGACTACTTCATGGATTTCCCCTATCGCGAGTTAGTGCCTGCCTTTTGCTTAGTATTTTTTGGAATAAATAGTGGCCCAGGATACAGGAGGAACAATGCAGTTTTCGTCCTGGTCGCAGAACACTGGACCAGCTCTTTATCCTCTCCAGGATACTTGAGGGTGCATGGGAGTTTGCCCAACCAGTCAACATGTGTTTTGTGGACTTGGAGAAGAATCAGAGAATCTCATCTCTGATTTTTGCAGATGATGTGGTTCTGTTGGCCTCATCGGGTGAGGGCTCCAGCTTGCACTGGAACGGTTCGCAGCCGAGTGTGAAGCAGCGGGAATGAGGATCAGCACCTCCAAATCTGAGGCCATGGTTCTCAGCCGGAAAAGGGTGGAGTGCCCACTCCGGGTCGGGGATGAGTTCCTGCCCCAAGTGGAGGAGTTCAAGTATCTCGGGGTCTTGTTCGCGAGTGATGGGAGAAGGGAGCCGGAGATCGACAGACGGATTGGGGCTGCAGCTGCAGTAATGCAGACGCTGCACCGGTCCGTCGTGGTGAAGAGGGAGCTGAGTGAAAAAGCGAAGCTCTGAATTTACCGGTCGGTCTACGTCCCTACCCTCACCTATGGCCACGAGCTGTGGGTAGTGACCGAAAGAACAAGATTGCGGATACAAGCGGCAGAAATGAGCTTCCTCCGAAGGGTGGCTGGCCTCTCCCTTAGAGATAGGGTGAGAAGTTCGGCCATCCGGGAGGGGCTCAGAGTAGAGCAGCTGCTGCTCCACATCGAAAGGAGCCAGCTGAGGTGGTTCGGGCATCTGACAAGGATGCCTCCTGGGCGCCTCCTGGGTGAGGTGTTCCAGGCATGTCCCACCGGGAGGAGGCCCCGGGGCAGACCCAGGACACGCTGGAGAGATTATATGTCTTGGCTGGCCTGGGAACGCCTTGGTATTCCCCCGGATAAGCTGGAGGAGGTGGCTGGGGAGAGGGAGGGAGGTCTGGGCCTCTTTGCTTAGGCTGCTACCCCCGCGACCCGGCCCCGGATAAAGCGGATGAAGATGGATGGATGGATAGTGGCACAGATATGCCATGTGTTGTTGTTTATCTCAGGTTACATTTGAATGAACATTATGCATAAGTTTCTATGGTCTCACATCTGTCCACTTCTAGGTGCTACCAGCTAAATCTAAGCTTAATCACTCCAACTCTCCCACACTGTCAAACTGTGCCATCACTGGTCTTGTCCAGTCACCTTCTCCAGGCCAATCAGCATTCATGCTTCATACAATAAATTTCATTGCACATCGCCTCTGTCAGTGCGCCCCAGGGCAGCTGTGGCTACAATGTAGCTTGCCATCGCCTGTGTGTGAATGTGTGTGTGAATGGGTGAATGACTGAATGTAGTGTGAAGCGCTTTGGGGTCCTTAGGGACTAGAAAAGCGCTGGCCATGCAGGCCATTTACCATTTACCATTTACCATATCTGTCATTCTCCTTTGCAAATGCCTTTGCATAACCCACCCCCCCTGCATCTCTAACACTCAAGCACCCAAGCTCCATTCGAGCCACCTTCTTCACCTCTACAATCAGAGTCTAGGCTCTGATACAGACTGAGCAGCATTATTCTGAAAATTTTCACAATTTGTACATGCAGTTTTTTGCAGGTTAGTGAACCTCTGCCCATTTTTACATGTAAGAAACTCTACATGTTCTTTTTATTTCTTATTACAGACCTGTTGCCAATGAAACTTAGCTGCAAAACTTCCTCCAATTTGCTTTACTCTTGCCCTGTCCCAACATTTTTGAGAAACATTTCTGGCATCAAATTCATAAGAAAAATATATTCTTATATGCTTGATTTGTTTTCTGTTTTATATTGTGTGATTTTTACAAATCACTGCATTCTGTTTTTATTTTGAATTAATTCAGATTTTATAATAAAGAATAATATAGCAGAAACATTTTTGCCTGGCTAAAATAGTTTCTTCTTTTTTCTTTCCTAACTGATCATACTAACATCAGAACATGCATGGGTGAAAAACATGAAGACACTATACAGGTGTCAATAGAGAATTGTATTTGTTCAGTCAGTATAAGCTTTTAATGATATAAGTTTATTTGTGATAGAATGCTGCATGATGATCTTTTCATTGCTCAGAACTGATTGTTCTTTATGAAACGTGTTCTGATATTTGTATCTGAATCTATCCACAGCAATAGTAAGAAGTTGAACAAGCAGTTCTGACCTTGTGCACACACACACACACACACACACACACACACACACACACACACACACACACACACACACACACACACAATCACATATGCACATGCTCATGTCACTGAACGAATGTATTAATTCCTGTTGTATAAATAAAGAAAGCAGACGGTGACAGAGTGCAAGTCCGTGAGTGTCTCTTACATGTAGGAGCGCTCTGTCACTTGTCCTCGCAAGTAAAGACAACTGCAGTGTTTGTGTTTTCTAACTCAAGTGTCTCAGCTGAAGAATTGCGGGGTGATTTTAAGAAATCCCCTGTCAACAGGAAATGCAGAGTTTCTACCTCAGGTAGTGTTTAGAAATAAAATTAAGTCAGCATTAACATAGCATAAACATTTTATGAGTGGGTGAGAAGGTGGTTAGCACTGTTGCCTCACACCTGGTTCAAATCCAGGCTTCAGTCTCTCTGCATGCTGGAGCTGTGTCTGTGTGCGCTCTCTCTGAGTACTCTATCTCACAAAGACATGGGTTTGGTCAACTGATGAAATTAAGCATAGGCATTATGTATTATGCCTTAATCAAGATATGTCAGAAGTACAATGTGTCTGTGAAGGTTCTCAGTCATCCAGGTCATCGTAGTCAAAGGAGCTTGCAAAGAAAAGCGTCTGGATATCTTTAAGTTGCTTGAAGACGTTTCACCTCTCATCCGAGAAGCTTCTTCAGTTCTAAGGTCAAATGGTGGAGAGTCCCAGATATAAACCTAGTGGGAGTATCCCCCCACAGAGAGACAAAAGGACCCCCTGATGATCCTCTAATCGCCTGAGCCAAGGTGTGAAACTGGGTGTGGGTCCCAATCAGCCAGAGTTTCGGGTGTGTTCATTGTGAAACCTGGCCCCACCTTATCATGCGAATTCCTGAGGTCAGATGGCCCAGGATGTGAGTGGGCGTTAAGGCGTCTGGGAAGGATCTCAAAACTGGATTATAGATGGCAGAGAGTTGGTGTCGTAAATGCGAGATCCCTTCCCAGACGCCTTTGACTCAGAAGTACAATATTTTCCTTTTTTGCACTTAAAACATCACTGTAGTATGGCTAGTGCATATATAGTGCAAGATTCACAAATACACAACAGTGGCAGTAAAGATTAGATGTTTATAGTTTTACTGCTGTTTACATTCACTGCCACTACCTTGGATGGGACCTTGAAACTTGAAAATGGATATGCAGAAGAAATGAATGGCTCGAGAAATCTGATGATTGCATCATGCATTTGGTTGGATCTGTGCGATGACTTACATTACATATGTAAGACACAGTTGAATGATGGCTCTTCATATTCTTTTGTAACACAACATGTACCTATTAAGAGCTAGTAGGTTTGAAAAATATAATATTTTTACTCTTGCTTACTGACAAACCATAATTACCTGTGACAATCAGAGTAACTCCAGGAAAATCAAACTGTTTCACTTCTTCATTTTCTGTTGTGATGGTGAACCTGTATTCTGCTGAGTCATCTCTCTTCAGCTTCTTTAATCTGAGGATGTGTTGGTTCTTCATGCTGTCATCATACTCCACATGATCTGCATCCTCAGTCAGGTTCCTCCTGATGTCCTCCTCAGCATTTCTCTTGACTTTATACCAACATTTAGACTGTATCTGCTGGTAGTCAGGATGTGAGTATTTACTGGAGATGTTGACTGAAGATCCTTCCAGAGCACAGATTCTGCTGTGGACATAATTCAAACTCCAGCAGGAATCATCATTAACACCTGAAATATCGATAAGACACAGATATTTTAACTGAATTTGTCAAATCAGTTTATTTATATTATATATTTAAACATAACAGATGTTGTGGGTCGGCTAACAACTGACAACAAAGTACAACGCAACAACTAAAAAGTACTTTAAATTACTGTAATAATTAGTGATAAAAATACAAAATCAACTAAATAATTTATAAGAATAAAATAATAACATTAAAAATATATAAATCAGGAAAAGAAATATATTCAGGAAAATGAGAGACTGAGTTACTCTTGGCTGAGACTGAAAAAGCTGAGCAGAAGTCAGGAGATGAATACTGTTAGTATCATAGATGAGCAGATCTGAAGAGGGAGAGTTTTGGATCTGCAGCTGAGAATTGTGATGTGATCACCAACATTTACAAAATAATTTATCACTCATTAATGATCAAGAAACTGACCTAGTTTCAGTCATTGTGGAAATGTACAGTTTATGAGGTTGGGGAAAACTGCAGTGAGCTGAGACTCAAGAAGTCACTTAGATGAATGACGAAACGTTTCTCCTACTGAAAATGCTATGTCCAGATGAACAGAATGAACCGTTTTGGATTTACTAGTGTGATGACTAATAGACTTAGTATTAATTGCAAGAAGGGGTGATAATATTTTGAGAAACAAAAGCTTTAGTTCTTTGAAAGTTGAGAGACAGTAAGTTTACTCACAGATGTCAGCAGAGCGCACATCCTCAAGACCTTTTACAGCACAAGACAAACTGTCTGGATGAGAGATGGAAAACTGAATCTGTTTTCCCTCCTGCACTGTAGGCTTTCTGGTCTCATACCACACAAAGGAAATCAGAGGGTCAGTGAGAAAACAGCTGCTGTTACAGGTCAGTCTGATGTGACCTCTGTGTTCAGCAGGGCTCTGGACATGAATTTCTGTTGGGAGATGATGAACACATTTTCCACCAGTTCATCTCTGTCATGTCAAATAAATTAAGAAATAAAAATGAAATTTCAAAGTGCAGTTTGTCCAGAACTTCACCTCTGGGATATGTGATGGAGCAGGACTCGTCCACTGATGTCTGCTGAGAAGAACACATTCTCCCTTTAGCATAGGTCACACTGAAGCAGGTCTCTGTGATGGAACCTGAGAAAAACCAACAACTTTCCGTAAATTCATTAGAGTCTGAAGAGTAAAGTGTTTGTGTTTAACATCTCATAACATGATGAGGAGGTGTCCATCATGACTCACCCACAGAGACTTCAGGGGCTCTGAGATCCTCGTAGCCTTTGACAGCACAGGAGTATGTGACTGCTTCCTCCCTGCTGAGCAGCTCTTGGTACCAGGGAGACCAGTCCTCATAGAGAAACTCTCTGTTCTTGTACCAGATGTAGGCTGCAGGCTTTTCAGTCAAAGGACAGCTGCTGCTGCACATCAGTGTTACTGTCTGTCCCTCTGTGGCAGGAATCACCTTTACCTGCAGCTCTGAGAGGTCACATGACCAACATGAATACACTGATCATTCATAAACTCATTCATTTATGATGCATTTGTAAAAAGAACTGTACCTGTAACTTGGAGATGAATTCCACTTTGTTGGCACTTTGATCTGTCAGCAGTTTTAATGCAGCAGTAAAAATTTGCATCTCTCTCTGTCAGATTATTGATTGTTAGAGTGAAATTACTCTCTGCTGACATGCTGTACTTTACATGTGTTTCATCTACTGAGAACATTATCTTGGAGACAGTATCGTGTCCAGTGTACCAGCCATTTCTTGCAGTGAGATGTTGATGTGAGCAGGGCAGATTCACTGATGAACCTTTCAAGGCACAGATGCTGTTTGCTTTTCCCTGAACACCTTTAACACAACATGTGATTAGAAAACATGGTGAACATTTATGCTAACTTTCTTTTCTGTGCTAATCTGTGATGACAGCATGTTACTGTAAAGGATCACAATCTGGTGCTTTGATACACTTGACAGTTCAGAACTTCAAAACAAGAAAAAATCATGTTAACAGTAAATCTCTTAAGTGAGGTTTTTTTTAGGAAATTCACTTTAATTTAACTTCTGAGAAAAACTTGTAACTTTCTGCATCTTTTTCTAGATTCCAGAAACATCATCACAGTCATCATGAGGAGGAGAAACAAATTATTCCTACCTGACAGACACAGAATGAAACCCAGAAACAAACATCCAGCTTCTGCCAACAACATGGCTGCTGTAGATTTTCTCTTCTAATCAAAAAGTTGATTATGTGAATATAATTTAGTCCTTGCTATGACTTCTGTTAATATCAAAATTTATAAAATATCAGAAATGTGAATAAATGTTCAAATTCATGAGCTGTCTAAGAGGAAAACCTGAATACAGAGCTGATTTCAGCGTGTCTGCAGGACAAACACGTTTTAACACGACCAAAGTCACTTCCTCCTTTATGATAATTTTTTTTTCACAACAGAGCCCTCTAGTGAAGAATGCATGTTTGCAGCAGCTATTGGACTCTTACTTTTGAATTTATAGTGGGGTTTTTTGTGTATTGTCACACTTCTTGTCTTTGTTATTTTTAAAATTTACAAAGCATCCCAATTAAATATGCTACATGACCACATTTCATTACATTTTCATCAAAAAACCCAAAGTTGTTACTATTGGCAGAGTAACAACAATGGTGCGGCATTAATGGTTATTGTGGTGCAGAAAAAGAAACTTACCAGAACCACTAACAGGCGTGATATTTTTATTTTTCAAAATATCATTTCATTTCATTCATCTGTAAATATACTTCAGTAAATGAGCAGTAAAGGTAGTCTATTGCTATATATAATAAATACATGTGTGTTTTTATATATTACTAGTATACTCACCTTTGTAAAGTCTAAATTAAAAAAAATCAGACCAAGCAGATTTACTGATAAAGATGCAGTGACTGGCCTATATTAGTATACAGAAATAGAAAAAAGAAGAAAAACGATTACATTTTTTTTTATAACACATCAAATGTCTTCACTGGGTCTATACTTCATCCATGTTTGGACGAGAGAGAGAGAGAGAGGGGGGGGGGGGGTATTATATGAATGGTAGCAGTGTGAGCCTCTAAAAGCTGTGTGTACTGTTCAGTAATATTTGTACCCTCTTTTACTCTGTTTTATTCATATTTTGTGGGAACCAAAATTTTCATTCATTTTATCTCAAATATCTTTAGCGTTTCTCTGAATTTCAATTTTCTATCACTGCTAAGATGGAGCTGTTTTCAGGTCGTGATTAGGCAGGAATCACCTTTACCTTCAGCTCTGAGAGGATATGCATTCATCGGTGTGATAATCATAAAATAATCACTGTTTGCAAGCATCATACTGAAACAATGAGTTTAACTCTCCTGTCCCAGCAGTGTTCTTGGTTGTTTCTATACTTGTTGCAGTAGTAAATGTTTGCATCACTTTCTCTCACATCCTTGATCACCTGTGTGGGGAAGCCATCAGACACGCCCACGACCCTGGTTTCGTCTGTAGAGAACATACTTGTTGCCCTGCTTGTGCATAGTGTACCATTTCCAGTTGGACTTTGCTTTATCTGACCTTTTAATCCATAGATGTTTTAGATGTTTTTTGTGTGTCCAGTCATCCCTTTACCAGAAACTTTCATTAGCAGACATCAAAGTTTTTAAATGAAACAAAGAAGTGAACCTTAAAGAACATGTATGCTTTCCTGCTTACATGTTCTAAAAGCATGGCTCTCCTCAACCTTCTCCTCATCCTTCAACTTTATTCAGAAACATTGATGGTACAGCTGTTTTTGTATGCCTAATCACTGTCATGACAACAAGGTAGGTTGTTGTTTTGTAGGTGATGACAGATGGCGTTAAGTTATTATATAAAAATGTCCTTCCTTCTTTAGAAGGAATTCATCTTAGTAAAAGAAGAAGAGGACATAGCGTGACAAGAAAGGAACCTTGGTACTGTATGAGGAGGACAGCAGTGGGACAGAGAGGGTGAGGCTGCTGGAGGACATGTATCAGAACAGTAAAACAGAGGTGAGGTGTGTGGTTGGGGTGAGAGATGGATTCAAACACAGACACACACACTGTAAGACTTGGCCCTAATGTCTCCTCAAATCGCACACTGAGCACTGGCTCCCCACCGGGCTGTGTGCTGAGCCCCCTCCTGTATTTTCTCTACACCCACCACTGCAGTTCGACCCACAACAACAAACTCATCATCAAGTTTGCTGATGACACCACAGTAGTCAGACTCATCTCAAAGGCAGAGGAGGCAGACTACAGAGAGGAAGTCCTGAAGCTGGCAGCATGGTGTTCAGAGAACAACATGCCAGTGAACACTAAGAAAACCAAAGAGGTCATTGTTGACTTCAGGAGGCACAGCACTGACATACCTCCCCCCCCCCCTTTACATCCACGGGGACTGTGTGGAGAGGGTCCACTCCTTCTGGTTCCTTGGTGTCCTCATCTCTGCTGACATCTCCTGGACAGATAACATCTCAGTGGTCATCAAGAAGGCCCAACGTTCGTCGGGGGGTTCCCCAGGAGCATCTTCCTTGGGTGGCTCAACCCGGGGTAGCGGTCATGGCCTATTAGGGGCTCTGTTGGCTCTTAGGTGACGGTTTCCTCGTGGCTGCGTGCAGCATGGCTAGGGGAGGGTCTGTGCTGACGGACGTGGGTTACTGACCTGGTAGCCTGGCTGCCCCTGGGTGGGTCTGGGACGGGCGTGAGGTTCTGGGGGCGCTCCGTCTCTGGGCTGGGGCCCTGGCTGGGCCTCGGGGGCTTGGGTCCTGGTTGGTATGTTGCTGGGGTTGTGGGCGGGTGGGTGTATGGGGGCCCGGCCCTGGCGCAGGGTGCTGCCAGTGCATCGAGCCACCTGGGGGGCTCTTCAACTGGTGGGGGGGTGTTACACCTTGCAGGAGCTCTCCTCTCTTCAGGAACTCACTCTGCAGGAGGGGGAGATATAGGAGAGGTGGAGGAAGATCTCAGCCTGGGCGTCTATTGTCTTGTGTAGTCTGGAAGATGAGTGGATGATGGGGTGGGTGCAGTTTTCTCTGTGGTGGGGTCAGGTGGGCTGTCCCGGGCTCTGTGGGGCTGGGCGGCGCTGCTGTTCTGGGCCCCGGTCCGGATGGGCCTGGGTCCCCTTTCCCTGGCGGGTTGCGGAGTATGGAGGTGCCTACTGGGTTCAGCGGGGGAGCTGGCCCCAGGGAGGGGTCACTTGCCCCTCCCTTCCTTCCCTCCCCATCTCCAGCTGCCTCCCTCTTCCCGTTCCACCACAACCACCCACACATGCAGGTCCTTGGGGTAAAGGTGTGTCACCAGGGTGCAGGGGAGGCATCCCCCCCTCTGTCCCCTTCTGGCTTCTTGTGCCTTAATTTTATCTCACAACTTAGACATTCACATTATTCACACTCTCATAACACATACATATAGGATCTTGGGGGTGGGCACGCTACACGGACTCCAAAAGACCATCAGGGTGTACACCTCACCCCTGGCGTCGTTGCCCACCTCTCAATTTTAAATACAGACACTGAGGGCTATCAGGAGGGACTACCTGCTGCTCTCTGGCAGGTAGCTCCATGCCCTCCTGGGTTTTAAATGCACCTTAGAACACACATGCATCAACACTACATATGAGTGGGCGGAGGGAGGTTTTGGAGTCTTCTCTCACCCCCATTCTCTGCGACCTGCTGGAGCGGGGGGCCGGGAGGAGGAGTTGGCCATCCGACTGGGGTCTGGAATGTGGGGCCTCCCTGCTGCTGCGGAGTCGGGACGGTCTGCTTCTCGCCACCACAGGGAAAAAGGGTAACACCACCTGGGTCTGGGTGCAGTTCCCCCCTCCAGCGGCAAAGGTACCTAGACCAGGTTCTTAGAGTACGCTTGGGGAGTGTGATCGTGTGTACAGCGTCTCTTTATGTCTGTCTCCACGTTGGTTGAGTGTGGAGTAAGTGCATATGAGAGCATGAGGGTGGGAATGGATGTTTGTATCTGTGTGTGCCTGTTTGTCTGTGTCCATATGTCAGGTCGGGTATCAGACGCCACCTCTCTGGGGACATCTCAGGCCCTCTAAGGTATGGAGGCCTATCACCCACCACCACTTCCCCTGCCAGTGGCAGACGCCCTCAGACATCAGCGCGTTGGTGGTTCTTTGTGTCCGGGGGTGGGCGCCCAGGTACACACCGGCTCACTCCTTGGTGGCTGCTTATCAGGGCCTGGAGCCTGGGGCTCGCTCGGGCCACTTCGGGGGTGGGGTGCCCTCGGCCTCTCGGCCTGGGGTTCAGTCACTCTGGCGCAGCTGGCTGCCGGCGGAGCTCACGGGCACATCACTGCAACCCCCCCTGGCTTCTGCTCCGCAGCTGCTGAGTGAGCCCTCATCTGGGACTCTCCTCAGCTCTTTCTGGGACAGTGGCGCGGCTGCCCCTCTGTTGGCCTTCCTTGGTCTCTTGTGTTCTGGGGGCCTCTGGATGTCTGGAGTCTTGATCTCCTCCATACCTGCTTCATGCCCTGGAGGACGGGGCTGTGGCCCCCCCACACCCTCTAGCAGATCATTACATGAAGGAACCTTTTAAAAACAAACGTGTTCATGCTCACAGGTGTACACACGGGTGCTCACACACACAAACGACACCCTTTTTGGCTCCTACCTCAAAGCACACTGTGCGCTGTCGATATTACGTGCTGCACAATAATGTTTAATATTTAATATTTACTGTTATATTCCCATATATCATCGTGATGTTGTTTATTGTATTGCTCTCATTTTCTTCTGCTTGTTTTCTTTTTTCTTTCTCAACAGGCGATCCAGGTGATTGATATATGCATTTTTTTTTGTGTGTCTGCTTATTTAGTTGGTTTTTGGGGTTTTTTTGCCCTTTATCCCCGTCCCTCTTCTCCGCAGTTTTTTTCCCCCTCTTCCTTTCTCCCTTTTCTTTTCCTCATTAAAGTCTGTCCCGTAACTAGCAAGTGAAAATTAAAAAAAATAATAAAATAAACAATAAAAGGTGAATCAAATAGACCATTACGGCAAGGCTGGGATGGTCAACTTGGTAAAGTAAATCCGTTGGGCATCTTTCCTCGCCTTTAGACAATAATTCTGATGGCAAAAGAACCAAACGGGACAGGCAAAAAAACCAAAAAACCAAAAAAAAAGGCCCAACGTTGCCTGCACTTCCTGAGGGCCCTCAGGAAGTACAAGCTGAACTCCAACCTGCTGCTGACCCTCTACCACTCGTGCATTGAGAGCCTGCTAACTTACAGCATCACGGTATGGTACGGCAGCTGCACTGAGTTGGATAGACCGAGGCTTCAGAGTGTAGTCATGACAGCACAAAAGATCATCAGCTGCCCTCTCCCCTCCCTGATGGACATTTATTCCTCC